TATATATATATATATATATATATATTATCTAGATTCGTGTAATATTCCAAAGTTAATAATTAAAATTTAATTGTAGAACATGACTTCCAATGTATTACTATACATTTTCAATTGAAGAAAAAAAAACCCATTTTATTGAGCACCCTTGAGGCCCAAGTTGGCATAACCCTTTCACCAACCCAGGCTATTTGGCACTCTAATTTTACATTAACCCAAACTGCTGCTGTATGTAAATGGCAAGAAACTCGATAAAAGAGAGTAACGAGTGAATTACTTATCTTTAGGCAAGATATTGAATACCAACGATTAATTTTCTAATAATTACATGGTGTCATACCCGAAAAGGGAAGAAAAAAGGTTGTTCGATGGAAAATCAAACCCTCAACAATAACATTACTCTCAAATCTTAACTTGCCGTAGTCAATTCAGTCACAAGCGAAATGGCCGCTCAAAATGCTCATTGAATTGTGTCAAACTTTGCCACCCAAAACAAGGCATTCAACCTTTTAAGAAACTTTTATATGAACTGCACAGCCAGAACCAGAGAACATAAGGAAAGATATATACATCTCAGCCCTAAACCCTCTTCCCTCCAGAAAATTTGAGCTAAACTCCAGACATTTTAGTCTCAACTCAAGCGAATGGTTGGTATATATAAAAATAAGATAAATAAAATAAAAAATAAAAATCTACAAAATTGTTTCCTTGTAATTATGTTTGCCCTTCTAGTGAATAATAATTTAAAAGAACGTTAAAACTATGTTCAAAAGTCTCTTAGAAATATTAACATGAATCTGGCAGACAGTCTAACACTTGATCACCTTTACGGAAATCTTTAAATCATCCCTCCATGAGAATGTTTTGATGAGAAACAATAATTAAAATAACCATTTGCAGGAATGATTGTATTCTAAATATGCTTTTAAAAAACTTCGTACCAAATAAGGGAATAACACTCCCAATTTAAGATTTCCGAGAAACTTGCAAGAATTCCTATGCGAAACACCCTGAATGTAAGATCACCCTACTCTAAAAACCACCTTTTTTCCAAAATACACATACAATCTCGTCCGTCCGTAAGTACAAAGACCAAGGGTTTTTCTGTAACACCCTCCAGATTGCATTTCTAGATTCCTTGTGTCAGTGAATACCCCTAAAAGATAACCTATTTATAACTACAAATGAAACACAAATCAACTGGCTTGATTTGACAAAACTATCCCCTCAGCACTACTACATGAAGCACTGCCAGCAGATGCACAGTGAAGAGCCGCACCAGAAGCAGTGTTTGGGCTCCACAAGGAGGGAGCATTGCTCCGTGCAGTTTGATCAACCTGCGAATCAGGCTCAGCTAGCTCTGAAGACCCTTTCATCCAGTGCTTATCATTGGTTATGTTCTCTGATTTAAGGTGCATCAAGACGTCAGTTGTGGAATCAGCTTCACCACAGGCACAATCACCCTTGGGTCTAGAATGAAAACCAAAGACACTAGCAGATTCAACATGTACTTCTTTTATTCCTGTAAAGTCTGGTTGACCACAATCAGTCTTGCTTCTTGGTCCACAACTATCAGAAATCTTATATGCATCCTGGTTATTACAGTCACCAGAATCTTTTGAATCCCTTGTACCAAACACAATTTGTGAGTCAAGAGGAATACTTTCTGCTCCACAGGGTGAAGAGTTTTCAGCACGGTCGTTATTTGAAATAACCTTAATTGCTACTTTGACCTGATTGGGAAAGTTTTCGGTAACCTCAAATGAAACACCAACATCATATCTTTCAGTAGCCTCAGTGCTAATACAAGACATAAGACATCCTCTCTCCTCAGAAGGAACCCGGCAATTGTTCAACTGGCTATGTTCAGCAGGG